AATCAAAACATGGAGAGAGATATTTGATGATGAACAAGGAAGCCCTGATCATTCAAGTGAGTATGAAGGAAGTTCCGATGATTCTGGTTCACACTCAAGTTCATCCAAAGATTTAATCAATATTGATAAACTTCCTCTTGAAGCCCAAAATTACCTTCAAAAATTTATTGTCGTTTCTGGTTCTAAACAAAAGCATCCCACTGAAGCTTTAACTTCCTCAACAATTTCCCCTTCTAAACTAATTCTTTCAAACACTCAAATGCCAAGTGGCATCCTACCTACACCCATCTCTTCCGAAGAAACCAAACAAATCTATCAGCAACATCATCTTGATGTCGCACCTACCGCAACATAGGTGGCATCTTCGATAGCCCCTCTCAAAACCGTTTTTCTCAAAACCCAAGAGGTGGTGGTTGTCCAAGCCCCTCAAAATCGATTTCAAACGTATTTTAAGAAAAACACTTTTCAACCCATTTTCGTTGTCGAAGATGGTTTCTACCATCAATATCCAAATGTTACTGCCAAACATTTCCTCAATGAGTGGTTCTTCAAACCAAGATCCCTCAACAAAACCCACAAATATTATGAACTTATCCTCACAGAAATTGGATCAGTCACCTTTTCCCACAAATTTGATCCTTCAGACAAAACACTCAATACCCACTCAACCTGCAAAATCCACCAAATTATCCACCCTCGCCAATGGCCTACTAGCCCAAACACCAACCAAAAATTCCCGGCTACTATTGCTCTTAACCACCCGCAAATCTGCCAATCCTTCAATTACTGGGATTACCATGAAGCTTGGATTAATGCCTTCTTCAAGCAAAACCATATGTACCGACACTCCTGGAGTTTTTTGGGATTACAAAACTCTCATTATTTTCCCCAACGGGTTTATGCACTGGTGGGATCTTTTTGGGCCAACTGAAAATATCTATCCAACTGAGATACAAGAGGGATATCAAACCTTCTGTCAAAAATATTCTGGTACAGGATTCCCCCTCCTCAAATTTTGTTACTACATCAAAGTTCCTTGGATTACTGCTTGGGAATTCAGTTACCAAACATGTGCTGTCACAAAGGTACCCATGTTAGGCCGCAGCTTCAAAACCAAATATTGGGATGCAAATCCTCGCTCAGAACAAGCCTACAAACCTCAAGTCCTCCAATGGTTCAATAACAATCCTGAATTGTCCAAAGTTATCGAAAAATCCTCAACGCAATTTTTGCAAACAAAATCCTCAATCAGCGCTCTCTTAGCTGGCGCCAAGAATGAAGAAGAATACTTCCAAATTCTCAAAGATGTGGCGTCTAGCTCAACATCTGACGCATATTCCACGTTCCAAAACCATGACCCGGATGAAGAAGTGTTTGGTCCTTTGCCAACATAGAGCACTAAGTTGAAGACAAAGAAGAAGTGACCCCATTGCTTCTTCCACTACCACAAAGGCAAAGAAGAAGTGACTCCACTTCCAACCCACTATCCTAAAGACAAAGAAGAAGTGACTGGCGTCAGACTGGCGTACGTCAGGCGTATACTATATGTCAGGTACTACTAGTGAGATACCTCTATCTAAACCATGAATTAATGGAGGTGTATAGGTTTAAATATATATATTCCCTAGGTGAGGTCGAGTGACAGGTAGGGTTGGGTTAGGGTTAATTGCCCAGGGTTATTTTGGGAATTTCACAATTACAGGTGAATTTAATCCGAAAGTCAGTTAACTTCCGAAATTTTTTCGCTTTATGTCGAAACTCGACACCATTCAAAACGAGAATTCACATTTTTAATCCTCATTGATAATACGGTGGAACTTGACCCAAAGGTAAAATAGTCAATTTGACTTTTGGGAAGAGCAAGGTGTAACATTGAGTTCTATCAGAGATCAACTATTTTCTTTCTTCCTTAAGGTTGATTATGTATGTATTATGTGAAGTACCTCTAATATTTAACTATATAGTCTACTTAAGGATTGAAAAACAATTAGTTACATGAATTTCTTTTCTCATTGAATAATTATACTTATTTTTTATATCTTATTTATCATCTTTTTATTATATTCTAAAACACAAGATGCATAGACAACATACCAGGCTGGTGGACAAGTGGATACCTATGTATTATGGGAAGTACCTCTAATATTCAACTATATAGTCTACTTAGAGATTAAGAAATAATTAGTTATATATATTTCTTTTCTCATTGAATAATTATACTTATTTATTATATCTTATATTTCATCCTTTTATTATATTCTAAACACAAGATGCATAGACAACAGACCAGGTTGGTGGACAAGTGGAAAGTGGGGGAACGGGAGTAGTTTGCTCGGGTGATGCGGCAGTTTGTGTTGGATCTCATGCGGCTTGCGACATGGTCTTATGGGATGCATTGGGCGCTGTGGTGTTCGCAAAGGGGCTGTTCTTTGATGAAATAGATGATCCGGGAACGAAGGAACTCTTGGCGCTTGGGAGGGGGTGCATTGATGTCTTGCGATGGGAAGGGATGGGGTCACAATTTAAGGTGACGCCAAGGTAGTCTTTGACAAGGTTAATGCGGGGATGAGTGCGGATGTGTGGGGCATGGTAGTTTACGAGGAGATTCATTCCCAGTGGTTATCTTTTCCTAGTTTCCAGTTTCGTTTTGTGAGAAGGGATAGCAATAGGGTAACCCACCTGGTGGCTAAGAAGGCCCTTTCTTTGTTTCCCAATCGTTGTTCTGAGTTTGATTTTTGTGTCTGGCTCTCTAGGGAGACGGGTATGATGTAACTATATTTTCTTTTTTTAATACAAGCTATTGTTTTTGTTAAAAAAAAATAATGCATTTCTGGGCATCTATTATATTCATTATTATATACTATATTCGTGATCTAATCTATCGCGGCCAAAAGACCGGGCCCGGTTTTAGTATTGTTGATGTGACTTGAATCGGACAATCAGCTGCTACGACTGGAAGTTACGGGGATCTCGCTGCCCGGTCACCGAGTGGGGTCCAGGGACAACGCCCCGACCCACGATGTATGGGCTCAATATTATTTGGGTTCAGGTTCTGGGACTGGTCTGTAATTGCTTTTATTTTACCATATTGGATTAAGGTTGGACCTAGGAAAAGTACTATAAATAATTCTCATACTACTTTGTAATCTGAATCTCCTCGCAGTATAGTGAAACTAGCTCTCTCCTGCCCATGGACTAGCTAACACACATTGTACTAGTGAACCAAGTAAATCGTGTATCGTGTATGTGCGCTTTCTTTTTCTTGCATTGTCGAATTCTCACGATGCATGACAATTGTCAATAAGCAGAGGTTCCTAATGAGATTAGCTTTTCCAAACTCTTGGCATTGGATATCATGATCGATTAATCGTAGGGCTCAATGGGCCATTATGCGGCTTCTGTCGCTGATGCATGAGTATTAGCTGGACATCTTTCTGGATCAGAAGCCTAATAGAGAGCGGACCTCAGTGTGGGCTGAATGGGCTATCCATTGGCATGGACTAGAGATACAGAATCACCTAATCTCCATCGTCGTTCAACCTTTTGCCAGTCGTCTGGTCTCCAGTAGGGGTGTCCATTCGGGTTCGGTTTTTCGGGTTTACCCGAAACCGACCCGATTATATACATTTTCGGTTTTTCGGGTTCGGGTTTATTTTGGGTTTTGGGTTTATTCGGTTTCGGGTTCAGTTTTGCTTTTTGGTTTTTCGGGTTTCGGGTTTCGGCTAAAAACCTCCAATGAATAGAACTCAATCCGTATTTTTAGGAGTTCGGGTTTTTGGGTTTCGGTTTTGCTTTAACCGAACCCGAACCCGAACCCGATAAGGAATTTTCGGATTTCGGGTAACCGAAACCCACAAGTCCTTATCGGGTTCGGATCGGTTTTAATGGTTTTCGGTTTCGGGATTTCGGGTTTTTTCGTATTTCGATTCGGGTAACCGAACCCGACCCGAACTAACACCCCTAGTCTCCAGTTAGGTGGGGTTTTTTTTATGAAACGCTCCAGTTAGGTGGATTGCTCACGTGGCATAAAAGAGTATCCTTTAGTACTAGGAAAATCAAACTCCGTACAACAAAAAAGCATAACTATATAGTTTAGTTGGCGACAACTATGGAGCCGGCACCACACTGATGCCGCCGTTTTATTAGCCATCAGATATAGCTTATTAAATACTTGCCGTTGATTTAGATTTACCATTTATTCCAAACCGGTTGAACTTATTAGTTTTGGTTGACCCTTTTCTTCTTACCCATATTCATTATATAACTATTTTCCTTATTGATTATTTTTCTCTTGTCGATAACACAAATAGATATTGATAAAAGGCATTTGAACCAGTTCCATCGTCGCCTTCAATTTATCATCGCAAACCCAGATTTAATACCGCCCGTAGAATCAATAATGTCATGCTCATGCATATCCATCTTTTGACCTCACTCTGATCATTGTTACGGTAGCTTTGGCGCTGAAACGGCGTATTCCCCAGCCGCCGTTAATAATTGCAATCCGACAAACTTAGCTTTTTGGCCGGAATCCCTAAATAGATTTATGCATAGGAATGGTGCCACAAAATTCTCATTCATGAACTGTTTCCTTGGTCTCTGAAATTGAAGTCAATTCAGGTTTATTCTATTTCTCCTACTACTTTATGCTATCTCCATACATCACCCGTCTCCCTCGAAATTCTGCTCAGCGGTTTGGAGGACCTCGCCTGTGGCAGGGACAAAGATGATGGTGGTGATGTTCGGGCGGCAGAAACGACGGTGATGCTAGTGGTGATTTGGATTGACGGAGGCCGAGATCTAGATGGTGATAGCCGTCCGACTGGATGAACGGAGGCGTCGCTTTCTCAGAGAAGATGAGAAGAAAAAACGAAGGGATGCAATTAATAAAAGTTAAGCATCATGCCAACCAAATTAACAAACGCAATACTTAATAAATGGCTGCATTTAACCCGTGATCACCAACGATCATGATTACCTTCCAGCAAAACGCAATAATATCATGGGACATCCCTTAATTACCCCACACGCCACCACTACTAATTAATTAAGAAAAAAAGTAGAACAATCATCCCAGAAACCGGACAGAATAAACCTAGGACAAGCAAACAACCGCCAAATCTTAGAATACGCAGAATGGTTACTACTCGATCGTCGACCAACGTAACCCGTTGCTATGACCTGTGTCTGAGTTTGGATTAATTATATTAATCACTAGCCCAAGTAGGAGAAATCACAGAGACGCCAGGAATCATCGAAATCTAACAACCTGTCCGAGCTGTAAATGCAGCACTCCGCCAGTAGCCCTCCTACTTGCTGGGCTTCCTCCATGACTGATCCCCCGGCGGCGGAGGCTATGTTGTTAATTACTAGAGTATCGCCGTGGCCGTGGATAAAGGGGACGTGGTCGACATTGATATCATCAGGAGGAGCTACGCTGAATAGTGCCAAAGGTGAGGATTCATGAGAAGAAGATGTTGATGAGCAGTACTGATTATTATAGTTGTTATTGTTGAGATGATATGAGTAATTAATATGGGCTGTTTTGGGAGCGGGGAGGAGATTGTGAGTGTTGGGGTCCAAGCCTCGAGAGATAAGCTTCTTCTTGACGCAGGAGTTCCAAAAGTTCTTGATCTCGTTGTCGGTGCGACCGGGCAAATGCCTGGCGATCTGAGCCCATCTGTTGCCCAGCATCCTGTGGAGATGGATGATCATCGTCTCCTCCTCGACGCTGAAACATTCCTTCTTCAGATCGGGCCGCAGGTAGTTCATCCACCTCAGCCTGCAGCTCTTCCCACACCTTTCCAGACCTACATACATATATATATTCACCGTAACATTATATTAATTATTGTTGTACAGGAGATCCCTAGCTATGGAAAGAGAGAGAGAGAGAGAGAGAGAGAGAGAGAGAGAGAGGGCAAATTAAAGTAAAAGCCAATCGATCGACCTGCGAGCTTGGGAACAGAGCTCCAAGAAGCAGGCGCATGGGATGTGATGAAGTTGAAGAGCTTCTCGTCTTCTTCTGGGCACCACAACCCTTTCCTCACCTTCTCCTTCGTGCAACAGTTATGCGCCATTGTTATTGACCTCGACCTCGTGGATCTTCACGAGTAGCTATCAGCTGAGCTCGTGAAATGTGTCTGCTGCTGTCTCTTATATATCTCTTTCTGACAATGTTACGTTTCTCTCTTTGGCCTTGGCAAAGTTATCGTTATATTGCAGACAACTCTCCCAACTATATTTCGACCAATCATAATAGTGGATTATAGTAGGATTTGAGTTTGGAAAGTTTGAGGTTCGTAAGAGAGTGATATAACTTATAATATCTATATTTTTTTTTTCAATAATTGGAACTAGCTAGTTGTTGACATTGTATTTCGGATTTGATTTGGTCAATCGATCGTATGTTTTAATCGCCACGATCCCCACGATATAAACAGGTGATTTAAACACAATTATAGTGACATGTGCAACCTTCAAATTCGTGAGTTCGCGCTCAGAGCGAAGGTGATGAAAAAGAGGATTGATTATTGAACAACGCATGCATGTCTGAATATCAAAGTTCAATGAACATAGTGTAAAGTTGTTAGCTCGCGCCGGTGTACGCTAATCTGAACGTACGACCAGGGGAGTGGCAGCGCAGTTCCTCACGCCACAATGATGTATGCAATACTTTTTCCTGTCTCTTCCCAGACAGACAACAACGTTAGCTAGCCAAGTAACTAACGGTTTTAATTTGGACAATTAATTGATTAATTAATCAAATCGAAAGGTTTTTTCTTCTTTCTTTTATGGAAGTAGAGAAGTTAACACTGATGTGTTTTCATCTTTATTGGATGAGGTCACTTAATCATAGATGATGTGTTTCCATAATTTAACCTCATATGTTAGCGATATTAGACACAAATCTAGCACTATAAAGTATAGGGTTAATTGCAAGATTGGTCACGGACACTACTAAAAAAGTTCACATTTGATCACTAAAAATATTTAATTCCATTCGTGGTCACTAAAATTAGTTAAATATTTCAAATTTGGTCACTCTCCGTCCAATTCCGTTAACTTTGACTGACGTGGCAGTCAACTCTTGGAGTTGACCATTAAATACGTGATGTGGCAAATAAAAAATAATAAAGTAAATAAAATTTCATTATAAAAATTTTCCATCACATATCTAACTACTAAAAAGATAAAAAGAAATTATAAACTATGAAATGTAAGAAAAAATGGTGAATCCTCCTCCTCGCCTACATTCGTTTTCACCGCCGCGCTGCGTTCTATAATATCCTTTCTCACTTCCGACTCTCAATCCGACTTCCCTTGTTTGGGCGGTGGTTTCCTCCACTCCAGTCTCTCCCTCCACTTGCCTATTTGCGTCAATGATGGATTTGGAGCCGCCGATTCCAATCTCCGATTTCATACTCGCTAACTCTCGACTCGTCGAACTATGAGTACTTTTTGCTACTGATTCTTCCATTGAAAATTGAAGAAATGATTAAATCCTTTTTTCTATTGACGGCTTCCAGTCTTTCATTTCTAGGGTTCTTCCATTCAATTTGCGGCCAGAAATGGGAGACCTCAACTGGGCACCATCCGAGCTTCCCGTCGGCGTACCTGAATGAGCCGCCGATTCCTCTGGGACGGTGATTCTCTGGGGCAGCTCTTCCACCGGGGCAAATATGGGTTATTTTTCGTGGAATCCAATAGGCACTGAAGCCGAGATTCGAGTGTCAATTGATTAATTGATTCGAAGGATGATGCTGTCAACAATCGAGGAGGAGCAAACGCAGGCTTGGAACAATTTCTATGGCGACTCACGGTCAGAATAATATTACCCGCGCCGTGAAATGGCTCTAGCTCCCCCTCCCCTCCCTCTCTCATTTCTTTAATCCCTCTCCCAGTAGATCTAAGCTTCCTTTTGGAACTATCCCCATATCAACCAACTCCAATTTTAATCCTCTTCGTCCCAATGATGTTGCGGCTCTCACTCTACCTTCTCCTCTGCTGCGTCATAGCGGTGTCGCTTTGGACAGGCTTGGCCGGCGTCAGAGATATGGATTGCCGATTTTGGCGGCGGCGGAGACGGGAAGACGGTCAACAGTTTAATTATAGGAAAGTAAGTTTATTTTTATTTTTAAATAGTTGTGAAATGAGGTGGACAATTTAAAAGATTAAATTTTATTTTTTTAAATTTTATTAGTTGCCACGTCACATACTTAATGGTCAACACTAGAGTTGACTGCCACATCAGCTAAAGTTAACGGAGTTGGACGGAGAGTGACCAAACTTGAAATATTTAACTGATTTTAGTGATCAAGAATGGAATTAAATATTTTTAGTGACCAAACATGAAATTTTTTTGTAATGTCAGTGACTAACTTTGCAATTTACCCATAAAGTACATATGTGTTTTACCATCTCTTATAAGAATAATATATACAATCATTATACGAATCCTATGAGGGATGGTACAAAGAATTTTGTATGTTTTGTGGGTTTTTAGTGCATATCATGGTGGCTTCTCGGGAAGCCATCCATCCTTGTATTTATTAGTGTGGAGCAGTTTAAATGGATGATCACTTGGAAATTCACTATTGTATGCACTCAAAAGTTAAATCCTGAGTATGACCCAAAGCGGATAATATTTTGGTTAAAAAATATTGAGAAGCTACAAGTGATATCAGAGCAACTCTGCATTTCTCTTGGATGATTGTGGGGCAAACGTCAACGAGGATGTTGAGTCCCAAAAAGGGTGTATATAACACCTTAGAAAATCTCAAATCGACAAAGCACGGGATAGATTCATGATTCATAAGTTTAAAACCAATCTTAACTAACAAGACACATTTTGGAGTAAATTGAAAGAGTTCATGTGAAAATTATAAAGTTAAACGTGCTCGGTATGTCATTAACATTTCTGCTTAGGCAAAGAATCTGATCAAAAATTAATTATATGTTATTTTGGGATTCCTACATTTTTTAATTTCGCATAAGTTTGTGGTGCCTCTTTTTACTCATGTTCTCAGTTGCAATGTACTCTTACAACACAAGTTCTGTCTACTATGCCTATGTTTGGCCCGGCTTTTAGAAGTGCTTTTCGGCTTCAAAAACTGAAGCAGGGCCAAACACCTCTAAAGGTCGGCTTTTGTAAAGCCGAAATGCGCTTTTGTATAACATAAACGAAAAGCTGTTTTGAAAATACAAGATTATCCTTACCATATTTTAATTTTATTTCAGAAAATATAATTTTTCTTCATTTATATCATTTTAAAAATAAAATAAATTATAAAATCATATTATTTAATATAAAAGAAATCTAACAAGATCCATTTTTACTACTTTTTATTGTTTAGAATTTTTATTCATATTTTATATTATAAGTCCTTTATAGTCATTTTACACAATCACTGATCTTAAAAAGCACTTCTAATAGTTTTACAGCCAAACACTAAACTGCTTTTTTTGAAAAGTACTTACCTAAAAGCTCCAGCCAGAAGTTGCTTATGCAAAAGCTACAGCAGGGCCAAACTAAGCTATTATATTATCTAATAGTTTTTTATGAAATAAGAAGTTATCTAGATAAACTAAATAGGATGGAAAAGATAAAAACTTATAAAAAATAAGGATATTAATGTTGAATCTTGTATGATTTAATTTATACTGAATAATATTTTGTGGAATTCATTAAATTCATTCAACAACATAAGTGAAAGAAAAATATTTTATTTGAGGAAAAAATAAAATATAAAAATTTATTAAATACTTCATTTAATGCGCATATCTATAAATATAAGTTTTTATTAAATTTAAAACTTCTATTTTTGTTATATTACTAAACGTGTCATTATTTCTCATCCATTATTTGATCGCTCTCAGTCTCATACTACATATGTATAAAAGCTATATAAATTATTTAATATTTATATTCAATAATTTAAAATGATAATTTAAACATTATATTTTTTAAAATAATTACAAACTACCCTTGGTTCTTTAACGATTGCATTTAATCTATTTCTTTGTGAAGAATGGCTGCAGTACTGTACACGATAAGTCCTTGTTGCTATGCAATATAATGTGATGGAAGTAGGATGAAAAAGAACGAGGAGGCCAAATGAAAAGACTAGAAAATGGGAAAGTCAAGGGACCGAAAAGAGAACAAAAACAAGAAGAAGAAGAAGAAAATAAAGGGGTTTGTTTAATCACATGTGTTAAACGAGTTGAAGGCTTGAAGCAGTTGGGCAGCTGGCTAGTAATTAGAGTAGGTCATTATGAGGAATCATATTGAGGAGGAGGGCAAGGACCACTTCTTCGAGTACTGGGTGGTTAACTTAAACAACACTCATCTTCTTATAACATTCTTGAATTATTCATAGTACCACTACAACAAAACAAACATTTGCTTAAATACTTTAATGGGGAGAGCTTGACAGGGATGTGGATTTGAGTGTACAAAACTTTTGCTTAAATACTTACTTTAATGATTCAAACGATTCAAACAATTCAACCACCTTGATTATTATTTTCTTAGCACCAATGAGACAATTGGATGAGATAATTAAGTAGATTCCAACCCTAAGTTTAGACTTAGTAGTCCATATTAATTGAGTGCAATACACTCAAAGATTCGATTTTATGTATATGGGTTGACAAGTATAGCATAAAAGTGAAACGTAAAGCGTAAATTTTATATATAGTTTAAAATTATTAGAAATCTTCTAACGAGTACATTCTCTCTTTGAAATATAACATTTTTATAGATTTTCAATAACTATGTTGGACTCTATGTCATATATTAAATAATTTTAAGGCCACTAGTTATAAACGCAAACTAATTTGACAAGTTTGTTGAAATTGTAAATTCTCACAGTATGTTTCGTAGTTTTGTACGAAATCATGGAACATTGAAGTAAAAAAAAAATCATAAATATTTGTTTAAATGAGAAGCCACAATCTCTAGAATCAAATCAAGAATTCATTGACTATCAATATTCATCATTTGGACTTACACAACTAGGGACTAACTGCGGGAATAAGATGTTATTCTTCATATTATTCATGTTGTGTAGATGACAGTGACGATATGTGTAGCTATGAGCAGTGGGAAAAAGCTGAAGGTGATAAAAACGCGT